TTCTTTCTTCCTACATTCATTCCTTTTTTCCTTCTTTCTTCCATCCTTCCTTCCTTTGTTCCTTCCTTTGTTCCATCCTTCCTTTCTTCCTACACTCATTCCTTTTTCCTTCCTTTCTTCCTATTTTCTTTCTTCATTCATTCCTTTTTTCCTTCCTTCCTTCGTTCCATCCTTCCTTCCTTCCTACTTTCCTACCTTCCTTTCTTCCTACATTCATTCCTTTTTTCCTTCCTTCTTTCGTTCCTTCCTTCCTACCTTCCTTTCTTCCTACATTCATTCTTTTTTTCCTTCCTTCCTTTCTTCCTACATTCATTCCTTTTTTCCTTCCTTTCTCCCTATCTTTCTTTCTTCGTTCCTTCCTTTCTTCCTACATTCCTTTCTTTCTTCCTTCCTATCTTTCTTTCTTCCTACATTCATTCCTTTTTTCCTTCTTTCTTCCATCCTTCCTTCCTTTGTTCCTTCCTTTGTTCCATCCTTCCTCCTTCCTAACACTCATTCCTTTTTCCTTCCTTTCTTCCTATTTTCTTTCTTCATTCATTCCTTTTTTCCTTCCTTCCTTCGTTCCATCCTTCCTTCCTTCCTACTTTCCTACCTTCCTTTCTTCCTACATTCATTCCTTTTTTCCTTCCTTACTTCCTACCTTCCTTTCTTCCTACATTCATTCCTTTTTTCCTTCCTTTCTTCCTATTTTCTTCCTTCATTCCTTCTTTCCTTCCTTCCTTCCTTCCTTCCTTCCTACCTTCCTACCCTCCCACGTACATTCCTTCCCTCCTTGCTTCCCCTCAGCGCTACAGCTCGGATCGAGCTTTGGCCTCCTGAACAGTCTGCCTCCATTCTTCTCTATTCTTCATCCCTCCGTCCGAGGCTGAGTGTCTGTTTCTGAACAATTCAATTTTTACGGTGTGAGGTTTGTAAGTCTCACGCTCAACCCCCCAACCTGGAGGACCAGTATCCCTCTTCGTCTGGCTCCTACCCCTTGACCTGTCCGGCATGGGTGATCCTACCAGTAGCTACGCTACCGCCGGCATAGCTCTCAGGGTCTCAGGAGCATTCAGACCCCACCACCACGAGAAGGTGCAGACACCGTCGGTGGGGAGGAAACTGGATTACGATTTTATATTAGATACGGATATTTTATGAGGCGTTCATGTTCTGTTTGAATGTAATATGCAGAAGGCCATTTAAAAGATACTGAAGAAGGCAGCAAAAAGCCTTACTGTCAGTTGATCAAACAAATTCCTTATTAACATAATAAGTAAATCTTAAGCTTTTTGAACGTTTTCGTAACAAGCTTATTTTTTACGGTGAGGAGTTGTTAGCCCCACGCCCAACCCCTAACCTGGAGGACCAGAGATAGGCTGGGATGGTATGGATTGGATTGACCTGGTTCGGGATAGTATCAAGTGGAGGGCTGTTGTGAACACGGCAATGAACCTTCGGGTACCATAAAATGCTGGGAAGTTCTTGAGTATCTGCACAATTGGCGGCTTCTCGAGAAGGGCTCAGCCCCGAGAGCGAAATAAGTAAATCTCAAGCTATGCCGCGTTAAGAATCGCTTTCTGTGTTGGCCTCCGGAATTACGCATATTCGTACTTGTCTCTTCAGCTTATTACGCGTCTGTACAGTGTTACAGCGAATACTGTCCTATATACACGTACACTTAATGTCAACAAATGGATTTAAATTAGAATGGCATATAACTGAAGTTGCAGCAACAGTTGCTCCAGCAGTCAACTTCAATTTTATTGCTACCCAGTCCTTACAACGTCTATATTTATCCTAATAGACCAAAGATTCTCAGCCTTTTGCGTCTTGCGTCACACTCTCATTTCCCCCCTTCCTTCTAAGAAAAAGAAAACATTTTTCCCCCTCCCATGAGTATATACTTAAATTATGCACATTTTAATATTATATTAATAAATGTAAGTTCTTATTTTCGAGAATTCAAGACGCACACAGTCAATTATCAAGTTCCACAAGTGGTACGCGCCCCATTCTTGAGAAACACCGTAAGGTAAAAAAAGGGTAAAAGGACCCCTGTAACAGGCCGTGGAGTCCCGTAGAGTTTTGAGACGTCGAGGCTCCCACATTTTGGAGACAGTCTGCTCACAGATGGCGGTGATGTTGTTAGCCTTACGCACCGGTCGCTCTTTACCCCCCGGAAGATTCTTGGTACTCATTTCTGTTAGAGGCTGAGTCGACCTCAGGGCCATGGTGGAGCTGGGAAGATCAGGTCAATTAAAAGTGAAATACGTCGTTGGGAATCGAACCCGCGACATTCCGGCTTGTAGCATGCCTCAACCAACTGCGCTACCATGTGCCCCTGGAAAAATACTGTAACCAACGAAAAGGAGGTTGTGATGAGGTAACTATGAGTGTATGCAGAATTTTGATGGGAAACATTTTAGAAAATTCCACTCGGAGGACCGAGAAAGAGCTGGGGAGTGCCATTTAGGCTGTAAGGCTTTGTTGTTAGCGTTACTGAGCCGTCTGGTTGTGTTAACAACAACGTTAGTTACAGAAACGTATAATTCATGAATCTGGACCGTCTTTAAAATCAAGCATACAAACAAAAGAGAAACGTCACCGCTAAGCCATTGTTCTTGATACGTAATAGTGGGCTATCGAACTACAGTCTGGTAAGCAGCGGTAGTGACTGCGAAAGCAATATGCACCTGGTCGCTTGGAACACCTGCTTTGAGTCTGAGAATTGCTGGAATTAATTCAGTGAACTGCCTCAGATATGTATCGATTTTCTTCGCCTGTCTCATAGGGCACTGAGGCGTGCTCACAAGTCGATTTACCCGGGTCCTGCGCTGTAGACTGGAACCAAGAGGATTTACTTACAGTTCTTAGTATCAGTATTAACAGTGGCTAGCCACTAGTCGGGGAACTTGGATTCGATTCCCGGCAACAGCGTCCAGACGAACCCTGGGGCCCACTCAGCCTCCTTTCCAATAGGTACCGGGGGCTATTTTCCCCGAAGGAAAGCGGCCGGGCCGTGAAGCTGATAGCTCACCTCCATCAAGTGCCGAAATCAGGAATTGTGGATCTATACCTCCACTCCCCCATACATCTTCATGACGTAATTCTTAATTAAGCGCAGGGATAATTTTACCTAGCCCTATCACAGTGGCCGCTCGGTCTGAACTGTCTTCGCTTGCTCGAACGCTGGGAATGTAGGTTCGAATCCCACTTAAGACATGTATGTCTTTGTGCGTTTATTCTGTGTTTGTGTTTTGTGTGTAGGTATCGGCCTTGCGAAGGATGATCTCCAGTCCAAGGAGTCATATCGATCGTGTATAGGATTAAGAAACTGAAAAAGAGGCCAAGGTCCAACAAAGGGCTGTAGAGCCGTAGATAGATAGATAGCGTCGGATGGTTGCATAATAAACGAATGATAAAGAATTGGGAAGGAAGTGGTCATGGCGTAATGGAGGTGTTACCCTGGAACTTGCCTTGGTGGACTGAGGTAAAGGTAACGTTGCCTCCTGTGCTTAATAAGCACTGCGCCATGAAGATATGTGGGGAGTGAGGCCGCGCCATAGCTCAAGCGGTTAGTCGCTGGCTTCCCACCGCGGCGGCCCGGGTTCGATCCCGGGTCTGATCAAGTGGGATATGTGGTGGACAGAGTGGCGCTGGGGCAGGTTTTCTCCGAGTACTTCTGTTTCCCCTGCCAATCTTCATTCCACCAATTGCTCCACAATCACCCTGACTTATCATCTTGGGCTGGTACAATGGGCCAGAAGTGGCCGCAGTACAAGGGACTCAGTCCCAACCCACTGGCAATAAAAACAAAAGAATTATGTGGGAAGTGGACGTATAGCTCCACTATTTTTGATCTCGGCAGTATATGGAGTTGAGCGGTCATTTTCACTCAGAAGCCACTTTACCCCTGTGGATAAAAAGCCCCCTGTATCCAATGAATACTACAAAAAAACGCCTGTCAGGTTAGCCGGTTTCCTGGGCGGATTTCGAACCGGCAGTCTCGAATACAAAGAAAGGGCGTTGTCTCTCTACACTAACTTTTTCAGTGTTTGAAGTGTTCATGTTTAGGAATTTGGAAAGCAAGATGACTTATTTTGAGTCTGAAGTCATCCTAAAGGATACTATGTTCTTTCACTTTCATCCCATGTGTTAAACGCTTGAGTGCAGTTTTAATTTATTGTGTAACACCGCTTTTCAAAATTTGTTCCACTTTTTGACTCTAGTACTTTCTCGACGATGACTCATCACGTGATACAGTATGGCCACGAACTCATCTGAGCCTCTCCCTCTCTCCTTGCCTCCTCTCCATCATTCCCGTTACTCCTGATGTAAAGGTACTCCTGTAAGAGTCCGGGTAGAACCATAGGGTTGTGCGACGTCAAGGCTTTCACGTTTTGTAGATGGCCGTGAGGTCGAATCAGCCTCTTAACAGAAATGAGTACCAGGCATCTTCCTGGGGATAAAGAGCGGCCCGGTTCGTAAGGTTGACAGCCTCACCACAATCTGTGAACCGATTGTGTAGAAAATGTGGGAACCTCGACGTCTTACAACCCTGTGGGCCTCCGAGGGATGGCTTTACCGTTATCTAGAGACTGAAATCATCAGCTAGGGGTGTGCAAATGCGTCCTGTTTCCGACCCGTAGGACATTCGTTTCATCTTGCAGTGATGTTCAGACATTATCACGAGAATTTCTTAATTTTCACTTTCTTGTGGGTGAAATCGAGAAAGTGTTGTAAACGGATAAAGCTAAGGCATTTCTCCGCTTACTTCAGTTTCCCCTGCAAATTCTCATTGTACCAAATACTCCATACTCATCTATCATCCGTGGCTAGTGCAATATTTTGTCACTAGGTTCTTCAGCACACTGTCAGTTCACAAAATAGTCCCATCAAACCCTCGAATATGAATTACTAGCCCCGTACTTGACCTAGAAGAAGATAAATTACTGTCCCCTACAGAATAATTTGTATGCATTGAGATGAGTGTGTGTAAAAATGGATTTCGTCTCCAGGTCACCGCGCTCATACGGTTTACGTTGGGGTTCATCTTCCCGGGAACAGACGCCGGTCTCATCATCGGCGCCACAAACACCACCACAAGAACGGGATCAACAAGGACCCGAATGCATCCGGCACTGAAGATGATGACCGGCCAAGTAAGTTATGCATTCATCACACTGTCTCTGTCCTGTCTTTTCCTTCAGACGGTCCTGTGACACCAGTGATATCAAAACTGCTTGGGATTCATACTTTCCTACGACGAAAAGAAGGCGAGCTAAAAGAACTACATGGAATGTAGTCCGCAAGCGGACTATACCGACCGAGCGACCGCCGTTTGTCGGCGAAGTCGGCCAACTTTAGCGGATAGAGGGTGTCACGTGGTCAGCGCAACGAATCCCCACGGCTCTTAATTTCGGTTTTCTAGACCGGAACCGCTATTTCCTTGAGGTTAGCGATTGGTTAACTGGTCGACCTTGACGAGTCTCAGCATCAATGTACCAATGGAAAGAGCAATGTTTGTCCGAAAGTTACGCCGATGTTTCATTCTTTCTTCCTTCCTTGTTTTCGTCTTCTTTGTTGAACAGTAAATGATGACGTAACGTGGTAATTGCCTCGCCTTCTCTTCGTTGGGATATGATAAGCTCTGTGGCACTGGGCACGCTACACAGAAAGAACGGTTGACCAAATTACCAAACGCTGTAGAATTGGTGCTATATTGTGTTGTGGTTGCGCCAACTTGTGATGGATATCGCTCATATGCGCATGCGAAGTGAGCCGTCCATGTGTTGTGTATTTAGTGCATGTGTACTTTTGATGTGGACGTACTGTACCTTTGTGTTTCATTTCCGCATGAGTGCCACTGTACCTTCTCTGTGTATTTTCATGTAGGTGCCTGTCTTTTTTAGCCTACTTTCCCAGGGTAGGCTTACGCGATCTCCGTCCTGCCTGTGTACCCTCTCTTGTCAAGCTTTTGAATGTATGAACCAATGCTTATGAAACTCGGTATGTATATCATGACACCTGAGCCCATCTCAACATCCTATTTCATAAATCCCTCCCATCAGTATGTGTATCCCTCCTAATGTTGCTAGGCAACGGCTCGGTAAACACTTTCACGCGGCAACGAATACTCGCAACAATACAAGAATCGTTGGACGCGTCATTTTCTGTGGTGTCCGTGCCGTGTCAAAGGAGAGTCTATGGGTCTGTGTAACTCCATGTCGTTGCTAGGTATAACTCGGTAAAGCGTTCCCGCTGCAAAGAAGAATTGGTAGAGGCATATTCTATATGGTTCATATATCAAAGGGAAGTAGGCTATTAATTCTTCACAGAACTTCTTGTTATGGAACAAATGCACATTTAAAAAGGTTTTCTTCATGTTTTGCTCCGAAGCATGGCTTATAATGTGCTATGAGCCTTTTTGAGAATCTTGGAGTTCATCATCATCATCATCATCAGTAATCTGTCAAGACGACAGGTCCACAGTCTCTTCCAAAACAATTCCTCCACTTAATGCGATCTAGAGCTTTCTCCTTCAAATGACAGTATCCTCTTCTGTCCCCAAGGTCATCCAGCATCTTCTTACGTCTTCTTCCTCGTCTTCTTGTCACAATAAAAAACCATTATTGTGATTGTATGACGCCGGTTATTGCACTTCATTCACAATGGTATCTAAAACCTCACATTTATCGCATACTCGGCAATTAATTACGTCATCCATGTTGCTGTGTATTAATTATTACCATAGTGCTAAACTGCATATACGCCTACATAGCATGAACGAGCATTTTTACGTCACTTTTACAGGCAGAAAATTCATCACAGCCGTGCGAGTTTTCCATTCACAACGATATCCATATGTTTACTGTCCCTCAGAACAGAAATATCAGGGTACACGGTCTCCCCACTCCTCTCTCTGACCATGTTGTACGTCATGTACTTACCCCCTCTTTACCTCCCCACTGACATCTATATTCCGATAGACAGTATCCGAGGTCAAACACGACTTGCTAACAAGCAGCGGAGATAAAAGCTAGGTGCTGACGTTGTGACTTCATTACGTACGACAAAGAGAACTCTATCCCCACCTCTGTAACTGTTTGTATAGAAATTTGCTAATCATTTTCTTTTCTCGCAATGGCGTCATAATTTAGATGCACCACTCTATTTGTGCAAGGTTAAAAAGATGGGCTTGTAAGCATTTAAACAAGGAATTTCCTGTCTTAAGAATGACTCGCTGTCTATCCTCAGGGAGCAATGGCCGTCTCCCCGTACAGCGAACTGCTGGTATGTGATAATATGGGCTCATATTTATGCAACACGGTTCTTTCAGTGGGCCAAATTCTGTGATGGTCAAATCTAAAAAAGTTCCCCCAGCCTGCTTCCTGTTTTGATGTGGGGGATCTTAAGTGGCCGCCACCTTAAAAATGTTTCGCCAGGTAATTTTGCAAACGTGACAAAACAAATATTTTTGCAAACGAACAGATATTACAAAGTGGGTTTAAAAAAGGCTACATTTGAATTTTAATGCACAAAACGATCGCTATGCAGAGACATTGCGGTAAATAATACTGTCACATGTATTAGTGACTAAAGACGCGGGTTTGGATTGGCGAATCGATTTATTGGATATTCGCAAGTCGTAACTACAGTTAATTAAAACACTTTAAGGGTCGCTGTAATTATAAAACATAAGTAAAGTCTTCGACGTCTTCTTACACTAGTCGTTACTAGGTAACGGATCTCAATAATGGCTATTCCTCTGCAAAGTTTTCCCTATTCGTTTCCTGGCAACGGATTCTAACACTGGAACTATAACTGTCACACTCCAGATACCACTGCACTACAGCACACAGAAAGTCTTCAACTCACACGCCAAGTCTTCACAGGCCGACTTCTAATTCCTCTTCAATTACGAACTTCCAGTGGCTATCTCCTACCGAGAATTGACTCACTCAAAGTCAAAGTCACATTGCGACTGACGGGCAGGCAGTCAATCAGTCAGTCAGTCATTCTTGGCGTCGAGCCCAATCTGGGACCTATGACTAGATATTTATTACTGTTTGACAGTTTCGGTCTTGTTATTGTGGGGCGCCCTCTCTGACGAGAGGACGGATCTGTCTTTTGTCAGAGTCATTGTCTCAGTAGTAAGTCATTTGTCACAATGTGAAGGATATTTACATGTTAAACCGTGTCTTGTGATGTGTGTTCCCTTCTTAGCTGCGAGTGCTGTAATTACAGCACTCGCACAGAATATAAGAAAAACGACCCTCATAGTGGAAGAACCACACGCAGTTTTTAATTAAGACACATAAGATGAATAATCTTAACAAGTTTTAGTGTGTGTAAATTTATTATAGTTGACGAATACGCGCGTTTTAAATACTTCTTAAATAATTTTATAAAGACATATAATGGCAAGCAATGCAAGTTTTTTTTTTCTGTGGCGCTACAGCCCAAATTTGGGCCTAGGCCTACCTCCATGAAACTCTCCGTTTCACTTCGGTTTACTAGATCTTACACATTCGGTAGGACTCCTTGGACGAGTGATCAGCTCGTCGCAAGGCCTCTACTTGTAGACAATCACAGAAGAACGCACACAAACATCCATGCCCTGAGTGGGATTCGAACCCACGATCCCGGCTTCCGAGCGAGCGAAGACAGTGCATGCCTTAGACGGCTCGGCTACCGTGACCGGCGAAGCAATGCAGTAGATTAGCGTAATAAGGCACCTGACGATGGCACTATGTTGCCGAAACATGTCGTGAAGTAACAGGTGAAATTGAGTGCACTACAAGACGGCCACTGTATACATATCATGGATGAAAATCAGTGCAACAGGACGCTAAAATACAACATTATCCCTCTATATGTCTACTCATCCGTCCGTCCACCCGTCTATAATTCTTTTGTTGGACCTTGGCCTCCTTTTCAATTTATTAATCTATGCACAGTCGATAGGACTCCTTAGACGGGGGATCAGCCAGTTGCAAGGCCGCAACCTACACACAGAATAACACAAATACAGAATAAAAGCACGCAGACATCCACGCCTTGAGTGGTATTCGAACCCACGATCCCAGCTTTCGAGCGAGCGAAAACATGTGTAAAATAATTTTGACTTTGATAATGAGTCAGATGAGTCCCTGTACGGGAGGCTGTCAAGATAGGACCTGAGCGCGTGAAGCTGAAGAATCTCCACTGTTAGAAGCCGTTATTAGGAACCGCTGGTGAAGACACAGGCTGTAAAACGCTAAGCTTTGCTATGGTGATTTATGAATTGGGGAGATTAGCGGTGGTGCTGCAGTTGTTTATAGTTCCGCTGGGTGTACTATAAAAGGCGAGTAAATCCATTCACCAATAAAATCCCCGTCTGTCGTCTGTCATACACGTTACAGTATTTACCGGAGCGAGAAATGTTTCCAAGCAGAATCAGAGGAAAAGAAAACTTGCATTTTATGGCCAGTACAGGTTTTCCGTTTGAATTTCAGTTATATAGATAGTTAGACAACAATTTTTGCGCTACGAATTAATATCTTATCTTGTACAGTCAGCAATCAGCAGTGGACTTTCCAGCATACGGGAGGATTACCGAAGTCTCATTTTCTAGACGAAGCTTTCTTGTACAAGTATTCATGTCTACATGCGTGTAAATAAATATTTAATGAAAGTATTATTTTTTTTTGCGTAAGAGCATGCACATTTTTATTGAGGTTATCTAAATAAACATTTTAAGTACTTAAGGTTATCTCTGTTATGTACTTAAGCAGTTTATATATGTTATCATGTCATTTGTAATTCCTTCTGTCAAGCGTTTCTCTTGTACACTGTATATTTTTAGAATCTTGTTGCGAAATATGTGAAATTAGATTTTAATATGAAATAAAATTATTTTAGTTTCGTATAGGCATATCAGAATTAATTAAAATTCGTTAGGCCCACGTATTTTGGTAAATAAACGTGTATTGGCCAGACTGCCCTCATTAAATGTTTATTTATGTACGTAATGCGAAGGTAAAGTTGTCCCTCTGCTTAATTAATTAAGCATTATGCCATGAAAACATATGGTGGAGTGGAGGGATAGCGCCACCATTCTTGACCTCGGCACTAGATGGAGGTGAGTGGTCAGCTTCACGCCCAGGTCGCTGTACCCCTG